CAAAAACCCATGGGTACCCATGAACCCGCGGATACCCAGCGGGTTGGGTTGGGTTTGAGTTTTTCAAACCCAGCGAGTTTTACCCCGGGTTTTTTTGGCGGATAAACCCATGGGTTTGGGTTTGACAAAACCCGCCCCAACCCGACCCATTGCCATCCCTATATCAGGATCTTGTCTCTTCCACGTGGAGTGACGATACGTGGACAGCAGGCTGTGACGTGGACAGATGAACAAATGATTTAGTTATCGATTATGCTGAGGTGCCAACGGAACGGACTGAAAATTGGAGATGGGATTTGGGAAGACTACGAGAAGGAACACCAAATGTGTGAGACAAACCAATTCACACCCAATATATATATAAATCTCTTATTCAAATTGAAGAAAAAAATTTATGTTATTAAAGGAATAAATTACATGTTTGGTCACGCAAATTACATAAAATTTTCACGTTTGTCACCCGAATTTTTTTTTTCTTATTCGCCCCTAACTTTACAAATCGTTTCACATTTGGTCACCGACCCGTCTGTCTTCGTTAACTCCGTCAGTTTTTTATTACTTGGCAAACGAAATTACTGATTGTATCGTTAAAAGAGTGATATGTCAAATTAAAATTTTAATAAAAGTATGTTTTAATCTTTCCACCTCATTATTATCATTACAACATAAAATATCATCCAAAAAACCCTAAAATTGGTTTTCCGAAACCAGCGCCGCCTCCTACCATTCTCTCTGTCCGCCCAAGATTCCCTGGCAGCCTCCGAAGCACCATCGACCTCTCCGCCTCTAGCTATTTGAATTTGGAACTTGGAGAAGAACAAGCAAAATACAAAGATTGCAGCGTCCAACCAGCAATTCCTCTCTCCGCTGAGACGAGAAGAGAAGCATTTGAAAACCCAGAAATCCTCAAATATTTTCCACATCTCCTGATTTTTCTTGCTCCTATCTAATTCCCAGCGATCAAATCGAAAGCCCTTCTATCTTCCCTTCTTGTCGTCACGAATCAAGAAAACCTTCTTCTATCTCCTATCTATATCCTCTCAATCTGTGACTTCGGATAACCTCAATCTACAGTGGCAAAGAAAAAAGGGTAGGGAAGAACTTCATTTTGTCTCTTGGTTTTGGTGCAATGCCCACACGCAAACGAAGAGAAGAACAAGCGGAAGTAGAGGAACTTGCCCAACAACATACTTCTCCAGATTTACTACACCGTTATGGATATGCCTGCGTCTCTCGTTGTTGCATCTTTGCCTTCCCTATCTCTGCCTTCGTCGAAATCACCATCGTCCAGTCTCCAATAGGCCGCCATCGTCGTCCAGCCCGTAGGCTCCTACTCCATCCTTGCCTGTCGCCTCAGTTTCGCCGTTGCACCATCAAAAATTCTGCTGCCTATACTCTGTGTGTCTCGGAGGAGAAGAAAACCACGAAAAGTAGAGGATATCTTCTCCGTCTATCCTCTCTCAACAAAAATCATATGAGGTGTAAATTAGTTTTTTATTTTTTAAATTACCACATCACTCGTTTAACGGTCCAGTCAGCAGTTCCGTTTGCCACGTCATCAAAAAACGGACGGAGTTAACGAAGATAGACGGCGGTGACCAAACATGAAATGATTTGTAAAGTTAGTGGTGAATAAGAAATAAAAGTAATTCGGGTGGCAAACGTGAAAAATTTATCTAATTTGAATGACCAAATGTGTAATTTAGCCATTATTAAAGTTTGCACATGTCAGAAAATTGTGTAAATTTCGTAATTGAATCTCTCTCAACAAATCGAGTTATAAGAATACATTGGTTCTTAAAAGTTAAAATGATATCAGAGGATTCTATTACCGAGATGACTTTTCAAACTAACAAATTGATTTTCGTCTGAGGTGCCTGTAACTATCGGGGTTAACTGGTTCTTGACATCACATACCCATCATACCTAGACAATAGACTAGGCCGTACCGATAATCGCCCATTGGTAGGTCGGGTAGTTTACTTTGGGTTAAGAATCGATGCAACTATGCATTTTAAAGGGAGAACCAATTAATTAGTATCCCTAAATTCTAATCATAATATGTATTTTAATCAGCTATTAATATTGAGAACAACTAGTTCTTGACAACACATGCCCTTCATTCCATGTGCTCAATCAACTATTTAATATTAAAATTGTGAAGATCGAGCTGAATGCACGAGGCTTCTCTAATACCATGCCAAGAACCAATTCATCTCCATAGCTTGAATTGTTGAGAGAGATCTACACATACTTAATACTTTGCATAACCACTCAAGAGCCAAATGTACGATAATTTTATTTGTTACATGTATTTATGTTAAGGGTTAACTACAATTATGTGTTATTCATTATATAATTTGCAAATTGATGCACTAACCGAAAATTTTTCTCACTTAATGATAATGTGATATTATATTGTTTATTTTGGTTAACCAATTAACCAAATCGATTAAACTTTAGTTTGGTTAGTTTGGTTTGTGTATTAGTTTGGACGGTTTGATTATAATATTGTATTCCATAATTAATAAAATTTATACTTATTTGGTTTGATAGTTACCATGGTAACCATTCAAACACCCCAATTAACCGAGTTTTCATCCTTTCCAATGAAGGTCTCAAAAGTCCAAACGGAGCATTTAAAGGTCTTGCAGCTCATCCAGATGGTAGATGAAGATGATATCCAGGAGACACTCTACGTACTTCCTCCATTATCTTTCTCATTCATTGGTTGGTTTGAAATACATGGATTGTTCGTCTCTACCAGACATACATACAATATTTTTCTCGCAAATGATTGAGCTTAAGCTCAATTCGTAATGGCCGACAGAATGAGTTTGTGATCCCCATTTTTTTGTTCGGATTCACAACGTAGCTGTTAGCTCTCTTAGTCGATCGGGTCGCCCCTCGTTTAAGCACATTAAAGCTCTCGAGTTTAAGGGCAGGGTCCTACGACAATAGGACACCTTCTGCGTCATTGTGGTGGTCTATGTCAATAATGGCAATAGGGTCTCTCGCTAATTAAATTTAGTTACATACATGCATTTGTGAAAGAAGAGAGGGCATGCAGCCGCCTGCACTATAGTACAAAACTAGTCACTTTGGTGCTGCAATTGCTTGGCCCAAAAATGAAGACTGTAACAATCCTTCCCATTAATCCCCACTCTCCTTTCCCCTTACGTCCTACCGACGGACACAAACTGCCCCCACCGCCACTTCCATTTCCTTCCTTCGTCGTCGCTTTCAGAACTTTCAAATACAGAGAGTACAGTTGCAGGAGCAATTAGTCCGAAAAGAAAGGCGATGGCAGCATCTGTAGTAACATCTGCTGGTAGATGCTCAACATCACCAAAAATGAACATGACGTTGCAGCCTCATATCACGCACATACCTACATATTTACATGTACTGAATGGCACCTATTGTTGTACGCGATATATACCGCGTAACGATCCTGGTGGAGTACGAATATATATGGGATGGATCCTTACTAAAACATGCTTAGTCTTGCTGTAAGGTTTCTTCCTATCTAGTTACTGGTCCAATTGCAGGACTCTACCTTTACAATTAGTGTGGAAGTATTGCAACTTGTTGGGTTATGTATTGAGGCTGTATCTGGCTAGCCTGCTGCAGAAACTAACAAGAACAAGCAGCCACCGTTGCTTCTGTAAGCAACTGGTCATATACAACAGACCACCACTTGCATGCAGTTCGTCCAAGTGAACTGCAACTTGCAATCCTTCACATTCAGCAAGCAGTTTTCTTTCCAGCATAGAAAGTGTCGCCATCCAGCTACTGTCAATGACGATTCACATGTGTTTGATAGATATGAAGACAGAGTCCACTGCAATTTGCAGGGCCCTTTTTCCTTTTTTATCGGATAGAAGAGTGGAACATCGATCGATCGTAGTAGTTGGATCAAACCAAAGACCTCCAAGTTGAAAGTCAGCTGCAACACCTTCTGATTCTGGTTTACTTTAAATTAATCTCAGTCCCTTCAATCACAATCACTCAACTGCGTATATTCATATGTTCAGAAGCCAGATGGCATGTAGAGTACAACCTAGGATACGAAGTCAAGATAGCAATAATGCACATCTGATCATGTTAGTTAAGGTAATTAACTACAAAGAAGAAATTTTTTTGAAAAAAAATTTGAGCATATAAACATATATAATAAGATGTGATGGCGAGGACGATTGAGATGCAAGAATGAGAATGACTTTAGTTTGAGTGGAAATGATCTGGTCTTATCGAGCAGGAAAACATTAATGACTGACTAATTGTACCCATCTGCAAAAGTGTTATAGACTCTAATCACGATTAACTAATATGTGAGCCCCGCCTCACTTTCGATCCTCCTAAAGAGATGAGATGACATAAAGCCATGAAATTAAACTTGCACACCATGAAACTCTCCACCTCAAACGTCAACAACTTGATAGAACAATGAATTGAGATGGCTAAATATGCAATTAGTGTAGCTAGAAAGGGACCAATTTCTCAGTACTTGCTTACCGACACCTTGTCTCTCCCCTTTCACTCTCCTTCCCTTCCTAGAACATGTACCAAACAATATAATTCCAGGAAAGTGAAAGCATTTACTGTAAGCGTTCACTAGCTATGATACAAGAAAGAAGCAGCCAGCTATTGGAATCAAGTGGACAAGGAGGCTATGGTTCTTTACATTCAGACTATGCTGGTTTAGGATATATTTTAGGGGGAAAAGTCATGCATCTTGTTGCCTTGGAATTAGGATGGATTTAAAGAAGACTTAGGGTTGATTTGGTGAGGCTACGGGTTGTGCACGATATCAAGGTTTGTAAATGTAGGCCCAAGAGCCTTTTCATCACACAAGGGGGAGTTTAGACATCCACTCAAAAGAACAGCTGCATCGCACAAGTCTAAAACATTGTTCACTTCTCAATGTTCTTCAGCAGAAACATGAAGGTTCAAGGAGACAACTTTTTTTCTGCTAGAGTTGATTCTCAACGTCACAACAGTGACAAATATCTTTATTTATGAAAGATCTTACAAATCGTTGCAGTATTTCTCTACACACAGTATGGTATCTGTTGTATAGACTGTTTTCTCTAGTTTTAGGAGATGTTCTCAGTGCTCCCTATACATTCATGGGAAGACAAGCATAGGAAACTGAGAGGTCGTATGTATGAGAAAGCTAACCTATACATGGAGACAAAAAGAAAAAGAGCTTTAAGTTGTCATGCGCTGGATTCAGGATGTCTCTTGCAGAAACTGGAAGAGTTCTTCTGCTACCACTGAAGGATATTCTTCTTGTGGCAAAAGAGCACCTGGAACCTCAACAAATTTGGTCACCCCACTGGCTCCCCTGAGTGCTTCCATCTCTGCTTTAGATCTCCTGGGAGATCCTTTAGACGACACGACAAGAACTGGGATCTTCCCATCTAACCCGGCAAACAAGTCCACGAACTCTTCTCTGGACTTAACTGGGTCAAGCAGGCCAGTCAAGAAAGCAGCAGGTGCATAACGAGCACCCTGTTTCTTAGTTAATGCATATCGGCTCTCAACAACTTTTGGAGTCACATTGTTCGGATCAGCATAGACATGGGATTTGTACTGGGATTGGATCGCCTTCTCGTTGCTGACAAGCATGTTATACATCATCCAACCCACTCCAGGTGCCCTCAATGTGCCCCTAAGTAGACCATACCTGGTAAATCGACGAATAGCTCCATCTGATTTAGTTCCTTAAACAATGAAACCACTGTCCATTTCTAGAAAGAAGTTCTGGAACTCAAATCGTTGCGATCAAGACATGAAATAGAAATCATGTTACAGATACCTTGACTCCATGTTTGAATCACGACCAAACACAATAGGCAGAGGACCAGCCCAGGTTGGTGCAACAGCTGCGATAGCTGCTGGCTTCACCAAGCCCTTCTTTGCAGCACGAACTAGTATCGTGGCAGCATGCCCTCCACCAAAGACTACCAAATCATTTGCTGAAGCAACAATATAAAAGGATCAGTATGCTATCTTGCTCAATGAACTTTCCAATCCGAATTTCCAAGTATGACTTGCGGGAAAAGAGTTCTGAGAAACCCATTTATGAAAATGGAATGTAGAACGAAGAAATTTTGTGAACTGTGTACTATTTTTTTGTAATCAACATAATGTACTTATTAATAAATGGAGTAACAGTCAAACTTAAATTTCAGACTGATTTACAAGTCAAAGTAATTTAAGTATCTGTATCTGTAGTTTATACAAAACATATTGCAAAATAAGTAAACAGATTGAAATACGGCTTCCTATTAGCAAAGCAGCAGTAGGCAATTCTAGAAGAACATGCAGATGCTATAGCTAGTCCAACTAAAGTTGAAAGGGCGTTGTGTACGAGGCATCAACGTTGAATTGATGATTTCTGACCATATGAATACAGGGAAATAAACTTTTATGTACCTGAGTTCTTAAGTGGACTATCAGGGGAATTGATGAAATCAACTAAGAACTTTTCCATGACATCAGCATTGTAGTCTATCTTTGGTCGATCCGAGTAACCCAAACCAGGCCAATCCACAATAGTAGCACGCCAATCAGCTCCACCAGCTCGCTGTACAATGTCAAGAGCAACTGATCTCCATTCTTCAGCAGTGCTCACATCTGAAATTGTCGGTATCATCAGAATATCCTTAGGTGAATCAGAGTTATTCTTTGAATGTTCTTCATAATAGATGCTGATAGATTTGTCATCGAACTTCCATTGCCAACTAGTTGACTGAAAAATAAAAATGTATATGAGAAACGCTTAACCGTCCCAAACAGTGAACACCAAATTCAATAAGGTCAAAGCATACCAATCTTTGAGTTCACCTCATAGCAGCTAGTTACAAGTTACCAAATAGCAGACAATTTCTAAATGATGGATATTGCACATTGATGGACATTGCAGTTATCTCTATTCTATCACACACTCTAGAGCAGCAGAAGAAGCAATCCTACAAGCTCTTGTAAATAGACATGAACTAACCGAATCTAAAGCTCCCTCAAATGTAATACCGACGTCACCATCCCTCAAAGATATACCATCAAATGAATCAAATGCGAACTTGGTCAAAAACTATTGAGTTCAAGTGATAGTAAATGATGGGAAACAACAAGAAAGTCAGTTCATTTGCTTCATATTTGTAATCGTACAAGACAGGTTGCAACCAGGAATTAAGGAGGAGTTTACCTTGAAGGATTTGGAGGGCTTATCGGCAACTGGGGCTGCAGAGTAACCAGCAGAAGTCGAAGAAGCTTTAATAAGTGAAAGTGGTCGCAAGAAGGGAAGCTTCTGTGTCAAAAATGGCTTGTAGCTCACCCGAGAAACAGCTGCGAAAGAAGGGGCGAAGGGGGAGACGAACAACGCTGAGGAAGAGGCCATGACTTTTCGGATTCAAAGCGGAACGATTGCTGGATTCCAGACGAAGAGGAAGAAGGAAGAGGCTTCAAGTCTTCAATGGAATGGACAGGGAAAAAAATCTGCCTTTTTGTTTTTTAACATTTCGGATGGAAGTTCGATTTTGTGGTGTTCTGCGATTTTGGGCTTCGTAGACCAAGTCCATGAAAACAATCATATGCGGGCCTTAAATCAAAAGCCCATAAACTCATCTTGTCTCCATTTGTCCAGTCTGTTGATAAAACTTGGATCGCAGCCGTTGATATTTCAATTTTCAAAAACATGACAGCCGTCAGATCTAGGGCTTCCGTTCAAAGGCTCTCGCCTCTCCGCAGAAGCTAATATTCTGCCCTTGCTGCCGCTTCCGCCCACTTCTGTTGTGTGTCGCAGCCGAGAGAGGGAGGAAGAAGAGAAAAGGTAGAAGAATCGAAAATGGTGCAGCGTCTCACTTACCGCAAGCGCCACAGCTATGCGACCAAGTCCAACCAGCACCGAATCGTCAAAACCCCAGGTAACTCCTTTCTCTAATTTCTGTCCCCCACTCGTTGAAACCTAGGGCGGCTCAAACCCTCCTGTTTGCTGCTTTCGGCCAATTTTTATAGATTTCTCTGATCAATACCTTTGGTTGAAATGTAGGTGGAAAGCTTGTGTACCAGACCACCAAGAAGAGAGCCAGTGGACCCAAGTGCCCCGTTACTGGGAAGAGGATCCAAGGGGTAAGTAATTGCTGGATATGTGTGTTTGTGTTTCCATTGTCAATGAGGAGGTAGTTCGATTTAGCTGTGTTTTGTTACTTTGGGGTCCTTCGTTTCAACTGTGCACTCTTCTCGTACTTGGGTTTGTAGAAAACAGTGATCATGCGTAGGGAAGTTTCATCTTTTGATGTGATGGTGGACTTTGATAGGTCAATCTCTATAATGTGTGCTTGAACTATCGTCCCTGTGAAATAGAATCTCGTTATTGGAGCGAATCCTTTTGGTTTCATTTGTTAAGCTATAGAATGCCCAGATTCTTGTCTTTCTTCTTCTGCCATCATTAGTAGTGTTAGTATACTTTATAGATGGAGTCAAGAATGCATGACGTTCTTCATTGTTAGGTTTTCTGTTTATTGCCTTCAAATGCTGAACAACTTGGTCTGCAGCAGTAGGTAATTGTCCTCAAACAATCTAGTTTTCAACTTCGGTTTCTTGTTGCCTGATCTCCTTCTACACTGAACCATGCAACCTTCCTGAACCTTTCTTGAATTTAGCTTACCATATTCTAGGCTTTTGCATCTTCATTATTCTGAGTTTTACTTTTTCAATGGTCAAGGAATGAGCTTGATCTCTCCTCTTCTAATGGTGCAAAAGTTATGCTATTTGCTCCTTTGCAGTTATAATAAAATGTCTCTATAATGCATTTTACATGTCTATTGGTGTACATTTTCTGAAGGAGAGATTGTGAATCAAATTATCCTCCTGTGTCTACAGATCCCACACCTGAGGCCTGCTGAATACAAGAGATCTCGGCTACCAAGGAACAGAAGGACCGTGAACAGAGCATATGGTGGTGTTTTATCGGGAGGTGCTGTAAGGGAAAGGTGTGTCTCGATCTCATTATTTTCTTTCAATCACTATTGTTTGTTATCTCCATTATGGATAGTGGTTTACATGATCTACATGAATAGAGGTCGGTCTCTTCATTTGAATACGTTTTTTCGTTGTTTGTAGGATCATAAGGGCATTCTTGGTTGAAGAGCAAAAGATTGTCAAGAAGGTGTTGAAGATTCAGAAGGCAAAGGAGAAGCAGTCTTCAAAGGCCTAGATCAGCTCCATCCAATGACATGAATGTTTTCGTTATTTGCTTGTGGTTTTTATCCTAATCAAATTTTGAGTAAACAGATGTGAATTTTAGTGGGGATTTATACACGATCACTGAGGTGTTTTCACATTGGTTGCGGTTTATGTTAAGTCACATTTGTTTCAACTGCATTTCAGTGGTTTAAACATCACTCATGTTTAGGAAATTAGCTTATGGAATGGAATCCCTACCTTGAGGCAGGGCAGCCACAGGATTCTGTCCAAATTGCCATCTGGTTTGGATCAGACCAAACAGAATATGATCAAGGAGACTATAATTCTTTTAATCGAAGCTCATAGATAGTAAAATGGTGTTGATAACCATGAACTTTATTACAAGAAACATCTGCAAAACGTATACATTGCAAACAAGTTGGAAGGGAAATCTGAAAACAGGAAAAAAGCAAACAAGCAGTGGCGCTGTTCTGCTCTTCCTCTCTACACTTGGGGAGAGGATCCTACAGCATTTTGCCTGAACCCCCGCAAGAGGTTCACAACCTCATCGTGAGGGGGAAGCACTTCTTTCACCACAGGAACCTCCTTCAAACTCTCGACCCAGGAGAACACCAATGGAGTCCTCTGCAAGTCGATGATCTCGGTGGTCCTGACGAACTCTGACTGTGCCTTGTGGAGGCCAAAGAACGCGCACATGGTAATGTCCAGGAACCTAACATTCTTCTGGTCGTCGAAATGATATTGAGGAATCCCTTCTGGAAAGAAGTTCACTCTCAGTCCCTCTTCAAGCAATTCCATGTTCTTCCTCAACTCCTTGATTGCTTCTTCTCGTGCCTCTCCTACTGCTGTTATTGTCACGATGAACTTCTCCAACAACTGCCAATGAATTGAAATAATATTGCTCGTCATTCAAAGGTACGATGTTAAAGCGATAAAGAAACTCTCTTTCTCACCTGTCTTTGTATGAAATCAGCCCAGAAGCGAACTCTGGCTCGCCTGTAAGTGTCCTCTTGAGGGAACAGGGCATGGCCGGAGGACTTCCAAGTTTCGTCGATGTACTCGAGGATGATGCACGACTCGATCACTGGTTTCCCGTTGTGGACAAGTACCGGGACTTTCTGGTGCACTGGATTGTGTTTGAGGAGTGCTTCACTTTTCCCATTCAGCAAATCTTCTTCCACATATTCGTAGGGTATGCCCTTAAGTTTAAGGGCTATCTCCACTCTTTTCGCATAGGGACTCGCCCACATCCCGTGGAGCACCACTTTTTCTTCCCCACTCATCTCTGTTTGTTTGACCTGCAAAATGGCTGGTGTTCATTCATGTGAAGAATCAGTTCAAATTGACTGGTAATATTCCCGGCATTCCCATGCGGACAAATCAAGGCATCTCTATCGTTTGTCATGTTTGCTAGGGGCATCTTCTATGACCTGCCAAAAACAGCAAAATGGCATCATCTGGTGGAATGGATTCCCTGCTGTATTGCTCTGATCAAAGTTTCAGGGGCCTAAAAGGCCCAATGTGAATATGGCTGCACTTCATTCATGGGTTAGGCCGTCTTTCACGGCTGCTGTTCTATTCCGCCCAAAGCCCAAACCTACGGTAAGTCATTGCGCATACTCTTGCAGGTTGGTGCTTCTCCCGCCGATTCCACACAGTCGACCGGACGATCCATATCTTCTTCCTCCGTCGCCCCGGAAATTCCCTCGCCGGCGCCTTACAGTAAAGCGAAATGCAATAGATAGATAGGTGGCGTTTCGATACGTGTCTCCATCCAATGGTTTTCTCTCCACTGCACTCTTCACAGATGCTAATGCTTTGTTCCTCCGGCTGCTGCACTGTTTACTGGATTCTCTCCGTCAAGTGAAGGAGAGATGAATTGCCAGCTCAACAGAAATCTCCAGCTGCTGAAAGTAGTCCCGCCAGTTTTGGGTGGATTTAAACCTTCGTTGGCTGCCAAGGGAATCCCAACCGGAGGAACGAATTTGACTCCTTCACTTCCCGCGCTGGACTTGTCCAATGAGTCAAAAATCCGTCAGTGCTCGCTCGAGAACACAAGAATGTTACATGCCCGTTCGCTTCAAACGGGATGGTTACCCTCCGCGCTGTTTGTTGCTAACTCTCTGCTTGGATGGTACTGTAAGTCTCAAGCTTTGGTTGATGCTGTCAAGCTGTTCGACACAATTCCTGAGCCAAATGTGATTTCTTGGAATACTGTGATTTCTAGCTATAATGACAAATATTTGTTTGAAGACTCTTGGAGATTCTTTCGCAGGATGCACGCTTCGGGGTTTCCGCCTAATGATATTACCTATGGCAGTGTTCTTTCTGCTTGTGCCTCCCTCTCGGCTCCTATTCTAGGTGAGCTGGTGTATTCGCTCTCAGAAAAGAATGGGTCTTTCTCAAGTGGGTATGTTCGTGCAGGGATGATAGATTTGTTTGCGAAGAATGGTAGGTTAGAAGATGCTTTCAAGGTGTTCAATGAAGTTAATTGTGGCAATGTGGTCTGCTGGAATTCAATGATCTCTGGCGCTGTTAGAAACGGGCAGAATTCGGCTGGTTTGCATCTTTTCCAAAGAATGGGTCGCGAGTTCTTGGTGCCAAATAGTTTCACATTTTCTAGTGTTTTGACAGCCTGTGGGGCTCTTGAAGATATTCAGATTGGAAGAGCAGTTCATGGGTGGGTGATTAAGTGCAATTCGAAAGACGTATTTGTGGGGACTGCCTTAGTTGATTTATACGCCAAAGTTGGTGATATGGACGAAGCTGCCAAGGAGTTCAATCGAATGCCTGTCCGCAATGTAGTTTCGTGGACTGCCATTATATCTGGTTTTGTCAAAAAAGATGATTCTGTCTCTGCACTCAAAATTTTCAGGCAAATGAAGAATACGAATGAGCGAATAAATAACTTTACTATCACTAGTGTCCTGACTGCATGTGCAAAACCTGACATGGCTAAGGAAGCAATCCAAATCCATTGCTGGATAGTCAAAGCTGGATTTCATCTGGATGCAGTAGTTGGCGCGGCTTTACTTAATACATATTTGAAAATAGAAGCTTTCGATTGTTCAGAGATGTTATTTTCAGAAATGGACGAGATAAAGAACCCAGGTATATGGGCTGTTATGATATCTTCCCTTGCCCAGAGTCATAACTCTGGAAGGGCTGTTGAGATGTTTCGGAAAATGTTGCAGGAGGGTCAAAGACCAGATAAGTTTTCTTATTCTAGTATCTTGAGTGTTGTCAACTGTTTGCATTTAGGGAGGCAAATTCACTGCCATGCGCTAAAATCTGGATCTGTGTTTGATCTTTCGGTTGGAAGTTCTCTTTTCACAATGTACTCAAAGAGTGGTAGCTTACAAGATTCATACGAAGTCTTTGAGCAAATTCCTTTCAGAGACAATGTTTCTTGGACCTCAATGATTGCAGGGTTCGCAGAGCATGGCTGTGGGAAGCAAGCTCTTTCACTTTTCAGGGACATGGTTTCTGCAGGAAATAAACCTGATCAGAACACACTGACAGCTGCTCTTGGTGCATGTTCAGTTCTCCAATCCCTACATAAGGGGAGAGAAATTCATGGTTATGTTTTTCGAGCTGGATTAGGCACTGAGTCATTTGCTGGTGGTGCACTTGTTTCTATGTATGCAAAATGTGGTGCTCTAGCATTTGCAAGTAAAGTGTTTGGCATGCTTCCTAAGAGGGATCAGGTTGCATGCTCTTCCTTGGTTTCAGGGTATGCTCAAAATGGTCTCCTTGAAGAGGCAGTGGTCCTATTTCACGAAATGATAGCTTCTAATTTTAAAGTCGACTCGTTCACGATATCCTCTGCCCTAGGAGCTATAAACAGTTTGGACCTAGGGCTGCAAGTTCATACACTTGTTACGAAAGTGGGCCTAGCGTCTGAACTTTCAGTAGGAAGTTCACTGGTCACAATGTACTCCAAGTGTGGAAACATTGTAGATTGCTCTAAAGCTTTTGATCAGATTGATGAGCCTGACCTTATAAGTTGGACATCACTGATAGCAAGCTATGCTAGTAATGGGAAAGGTGAAGAGGCTTTACAAGTCTACGACCATATGATCGAAAAGGGAATTCAACCTGATGCTGTAACTTTTGTGGAGATTATCTCAGCTTGTAGCCATGCTGGTTTGGTTGAAAGAGGCCACTCGTGTTTTCATTCAATGACCAGAGACTTCGGGATTGAGCCTGACAACCGTCACTTTGCCTGCATGGTTGATCTTCTGGGCCGTTCAGGCAGGTTGAAAGAAGCTGAAAGGTTCATAGACAGTATGCCTATTGACCCTGATTCCCTTGTGTGGACTTCGCTGCTTGCTGCTTGCAAATTGCATGGAGATGTTGAGCTTGGAAAAGTAGCAGCAGAAAAGGTTATGGAATTGGCACCAGGCCGTTCAGGAACTTACATCTCATTGTCCAACATCTTTGCAGATGTAGGAAAATGGAAGGAAGCAGTAGAGATAAGAAGAAGGATGAGTAGAATTGGAGTCATCAAGGAACCTGGGTGGAGCTTCACATGAGACACCCTGTTTGATCATTCATGTGGAATTCTCATATCGAGTCAATCCGTATGCATCCATGATAAAATGGAAGACATGGTCACCCACTTAAAGTGAGTATAACTAAAACAAAATTTTCCCTTTTCTTGGTCTATCCTTGCTCATCTTCTGTAAGTGATAGCAATTCAAAATTACCTGCTCTGTTCACAGATCCCAAACTTAAGCCTGCTGGATACAAGATATCTAGTGTATCAAGGAACTGAGTGACAGTGAACTGACTAAATGGGTGTGATCCATTGAGGTGCTGTAAAAGAGAGGTTAGTCTCTATCTCAGTTTCTTCACCATTTTGGTTGGCTTTTTTGTTTGTCACTTGAGAAAATAAATTTAAATATTCTCGGGTGGAATCTGTTGGTATCTTCATCTGGTAGAATATGTTTGCATCTTTAATGCAGTCGTGATGGTTGTGTACCACACCATCATGAAGAGAACCAGTGGACCCAAATGTCCCATTACTGGGCAGAGGTTCATAGGAGTACGTTATGTGTGCTTGTGTATGTTTCTTTCTCCCACCTCTGTTACCTCCGAGGATGCATCTTACCTTATGATAGGCACTGTCATCATTTGTAGTATGTCAGAGTCGATATGTTTCCATATTGAAGTGACAAGCTCGATCTACCTGACTTCCTCTTCCGAATGCTGCAAAAGTTTGCTTTTAGCTTTTTGGCATCCAGTTATGTGGAAGTCATTAGAATATCCAGTAATGTGTATATAAGGGCACATTTCCTTGAGAATAAACATTCTCAATATTTTGCTGTGCTTGCAGAACACCCGAGACCTGCTCCAGCCCTCAAGAGATGGAAGGCTGCAAGGAACAGGGAGCACAGTGAAGCTCTGTGGGTTGAAGGCGTCAACAGACTGGCAAAGACAGAGGGCAAGTAGGATTAACCCCACCTGATCAACCCCAGTGGATTTTCCCTCAGAAGGCTTTGCAAGTAAAAAACCCTCTCAAAATGCTTCTTCTCATCAGTAATTGATCACATACTCGCCTCGTCTGCCCATTAGAACAGAGGTGGAGATCTCTTGGAAGCCGCCCTCCGGAGTGGGTAACTCTCAATTCTAATGGCTCTGTAAAACCAGATTCGGGATATGCTTCAGCAGGTGGCTTGATTCAAGATCATAAAAAATGTTGCTTAGCAGCATTCGCTTTGACTTTGGTGTGTGCTCCATCACCCGAGCAAACCTGAGAGATGCAAATGAATGTCTTCAGTTTGAGACGCTGGACACTGCCGAGTGTGCGTAGAGCTAGACTCCAAGTGTGTTGTACTCCTGTTGCAGAGTAGGGAGGAGCTCGATCACTTGAATGAAACCATTATCCACTGGTTTCAAGAGTTGTTCACTCAGGACTGGGAAGTTTTGATTTCCTACATATACCGTGAAGGCAATAAGTGTGACAGAGTCCTATTTGGTTGTGAATGAAAGCTAAAATGACTGCATCCATTTATAAGAAAATAACTTAATCGATTCAGGCTCGCACAAAATCAACGCTTGGCAGTGGTAACAATGTAAGCAATACCGTTTGCTATAAGGAATACCAACTGTACAGAGAGTGTACAAATGGAAAAGGAATAAACAAAAGCCATCTTCTATTTTCAAAAGATAGGTCCTTCACAAGTTGCTTAATGATAGTTCCAATGTTGTATAAATCAGAGCTACTGTGCCCCTATAAAAGCCTGTAGAATACTTGTAATGCAGAGTATTTACAGTACAGCTTATATACGCTCATGCCTTTCGTAAGCCAAACCTGATGTCAATTTAGCGCTCCTTGATATCGATGTTCCATCCACCTCAAGTTGACATGAAGATTCATATATTGATGCCCTCTCAAAAGAAGTGTGTTCAAATCCATCGCCTTACAAACCTTCTGATGGCACTTTTCTGTTACAACAGTCTCTGGTTGCTTGTGGCGATCTATATACTTCTATAGCATACAGAAACACCATCCTGAGATTCAAAATGCCTTCCGAAAATGAAGCAGCAGATCTGTGCTCAGACAAACACTTACAAACCAGAGCATGAATAACAACTTAATTCTCTATCTGGTTTCTGGTGAGCCGAGTCTGATGTTCAACTGGACCAAGTAGTAACAACATCACTAGGCTGCAAATCACGCAATACTTGTAGCTGCACATGAGTATGTTCTCAATCAAGGTTCTGATTCCCAGTTCTCTTATCATTTTCCGTTCTTTACCCTTGATCAAGATTTTCAGAATGATGGTGAAGTCCGGGAGTTGCAGAGGCTATATTACTGGGCCTTTATAAACCAATAGCATGAAGTACCTGCCCTTTAACACGTCACCTACAAGCAAGTACAATCAACATTCAGTATTCAGATTAGAACTATCAGGAAATTTAATTCCATTTGAAAATAAATAAAAAATTGTGAATTCAAGGAACCTTGAGTTATCCAAAAGTAAACTTAAAATGTTAGTAGAATGGTTACTGCAGAAGAGTAGATCATAAGATATAACTGATGACTATGTTTATCTATTTGGGAAAAAATGGCGGGGAAGATTATTGTGGAGTTAGAACCAAGAACTTATATTTCATATCATCAAATATTGGCTGAGGAAAGTACAATGCAGATCCATTCCCTAAAACTATGCATTCTTCTCAATGAACAAGGGGGAAACAATATAATAACCCTATAACATACAAGGAAAACTAGGAATTCTTACCATTCGACGGATATTGGGTTTTCAACCAGGACCAACTTCAACTGGCTGATAACCACTCATTCTTGACATTAGGCTAGGAGCTAGGAGCAGTCCAGTGCTAAGTCACCAAACCAGGTTGAGCAGGCAACAGTTGAAACTCCTCATCTTGAAATGCAGCAAAAGTCAGTTAGCTCCAATTAGTTGACAGAAACATCAGAACCATGACGAGCTAGACCACAGGGCTGACTCTATTGACCCAATTTTCGATTCTTATTATGTCCATGCCAGTAGGAATATTCTCGGTTCTACCATCGCAATGATATATCTATTTTTTATCTTGGTTTGCTCTTCTACATTTCAACATGAAATTCACAGCTGCAGCTTTGACCAGCAGTCACCAGTAGTCTCTGCACGAACAAAACCCATCCTTGAAAGAGTGAAACCGGCTTCTATCTCTTACAACAATCTCAACATTATAGACATCAGAAATCAACTTCATCATGACATGACAGTCCCTGCAAATCCTCAAATTCTTGACAACTCTTATCTTCTTTCCCTTGCACAATCTTCCAATCCCAAAGGCTACAGCAAGCTTTTCACTGTGACTGGATATGGAGTCTTCTTTTTCCTCTTCTTCTAGGTCATAAAAGACTTTACCAACTTCAGGAGCATACCCTCCTTCCAACCGTAGCCTCAATATTATCTCCTTCAGTTTCTCGTAAGCCTCTACTATGATCTTATCATCCTGCTTTACACCAGCCAAGAAAGTATACATGACCTTATCTACCTCAATCATGCTCCACCCAGGAGTTTTCTGGATTTTCAGATCATTCATTGATCGTCGCACAGCCGCAACATCTTTCCACTTCCCTGCAACTGCATAAACATTTGAAAGTAGAATATGGTCACCAGAGTTGTAGGGGTCTAGCTCAGAAAGCTTTAGCTTCACTTTCTCTGCCAACTCAATATTCCCATAAAAGCTGCAAGCACCGAGAAGGGTCCGCCAAATAATTGCATTGGCTGGAATTGGCATCTGACATGCAAATTCATATGCCTTCCACAGCTGGCCAGCTCGACCATATAGATCAACCATACAACCATAATGTTCAATAGACGGTTCAATATTGTAGACATTCCTCATCTCATAAAAGTAGGTACATCCTTCTTTAACTAATCCAGTATGACTACAAGCATACAAAAGAGAAATAAAGATGATTCCATCAGGCATTACTCCAGTTGATGCCATTTCATGAAAGAGCTGAATTGCTTCATCTCCATGACCGTGCATTGCAAGTCCTGCCAGCAATGAGGTCCAAGAAACTATGGTTCTTTTCTGAGGCATTCGTTCAAAGACTAGCCTAGCCATTGCTATGTCGCCACACTTAGCATAAGTATCCAGTAACGCATTGTTAACAGAAACCATCCAGAGGAAGCCAGCTTTCTCAAGAAATCCGTGGAGGATTTTTCCAAACTCAAAGGCTCCTGCTTGTGCACAAGCTGAGAGCACCCCAGTCAAGCTCACCTCGTTCAGTGTCATCCCAACTCTCCTCAACTCCCTGAAATGCCCAAAAGCCTCATCAAAATATCCCGTATGAGAGAACCCAACAATCATGGTGCTCCATGAGACATCATCCTTCATCGGCATTTCAGAAAACGCCTTTCTCGCTAGCTCTAGTTCCCCTGATTTCATGCAACCCGCAAGCATCACGTTCCAGGATGTCAAGTTCTTGAACGTCATAAGATTAAACAATTCTGACGCACCCTTCACATCTTCTCCCCTCAAACACGCAGTGAGCACAGCATTCCACGCGACAATATTTGGTTGACGCATTTCATCAAACACCTTCCTTGCTAAACCAACACACCGGCATTCCCCGTACATACTTATCAAAGTAGTCCCGACGAAGATATGGCTATCAAAACCATAGCTCAAAGCTTGGCAATGCAACTGAATTCCAACTCTGAAGGATCTCAAATTCGCAGCGGCTTTGAGAGCAAACGCAAACGAATAGCTATCCGGAGGCAACCCGAAATCCCTCCGCGTCTCCACAAATGCAGAGATGGCGTTCAAGGGATTATCAGATTCCGCTAGCCCTCGAATAACGGCATTGCACATGAATACATCAGGATCCGGAGCGTGGCGCAGGAGTGAGCAAGCATAGTCGAGAGAGTCGGAGAGAGCCGTGGCACAGTGAAGGAGCAACCTCCCGGCGACCAAACGATCGGCGTGAAAGCCAGTCTTGAGTAAATTGGCGTGGACTTGCTTGACAGATGTTAAAGTCTTGGCATGAGTCAAATACGAGAGACAGAGCGGCAGCGAGTTGTTCATTTCGTGCTGCTCCTCTGTCCATGGCGGCCCTGGCGTTCCCTCCATTTGTAACAAGCGGGATTAAAGTGTAAATGATAGAAGTTGAGTGATAAGTGGGGTAATTGTGTAGAATTGTAACCAACTTTACAAATCAATAAACTTTACCTTCTCTCTCCTCTCTTCTCTTCTCTCTTCTCTCTTCTCTCTTCTTCTCCCTTCCTCTCTCCTCTGATTCCTATCTTCTTCTCTACTCATTCTTCCAATTCGTTCTTGCCAACAAGCCAAATCTAGCTCTCCAGGGGTTACAAGGTGGTATCAGAGCATTCGCTTGGCGTCATTCAGTTATGGCGGCGATGAGAGGTTCCTTCGATGAGCGTCTCGCCAGTTTGGCGGCGTCGACGACGCAGGCGCAGGGGGAATTGGACGATAAGATCGCCGACGTCAGGAGCTTGGTCACATCACAAGCGAATCGATTGCAGTAACTGGTGACTCGATTGGACGGTCACTCTCAATAATTTGTTAATCTCACAGCTCGCCTAGATTCCATGGAGGCAGGCACAGCTACTCGTTTGACCGAACTGGAGGATCGTCTGGATACTCGAATTGGGAATTTTACTCAGGAAATACGCGAGATGCTTCAATTGATTGTTCACCCCAGGCCGTCGGGCCCCATTGTCGGTGCGGCTAGACCGTTGGCTTACCGAAATTGAGGCATTCTTTCTCTTCCACACCAAGGTTTCAGGGGGAGTTCATCCTGCCATGGCGCAGACACCTAGGGTTCAGGCTCCGTTTCATCTAGTTGCTGAGCGGGAGGCTATTCCAGCTCCAGCCCTAGGTAACAATCATCAACTGACCCGTCTCGACTTTCCATCCTTTAATGGCGAAGATTCACGCGAATGGACGAGGAAATGCGAGAAATTGTTTGAGATTTACTCTATTCCTAATTACTAGAAGGTGAATTTAGCGGTGATTTACTTCCAGCGTCGTGCGGATCTGTGGTTTGAGGGGCGGATTCTCCAGAAAATGGTAACCACCTCCATAACAAAATAAGGACAACTATTGTCTCTCTTCTTCTGAAAGAGTTCTGATTTTACAATCCCTGCAAAAGATCTTTTATCCCATGACCCTAAATGACCACCAAAGCCCACCAATCTCCATAATCGACGAGCAAAAGAACAGCTAAAAAATAAATGCTCCAATGCTTCAACCTTTCTGCCACAAACCGGACAAACTGGTAAAATATCAAGCCCTCTAGCAAGAAGAGCCTCTCTCGTTGGTAGGATTCGATTCAAACACTGCCAAATAAAGAAACTTTAACTTTGGTGGAATCTTTAAATTTCATAATCAAATCCACATATCATGATCAACCTATTGTACCCTAGCTCGACCCCCCTGAACGCGATTTAAACAGTAAGTCAGATGATAGGCGGATTTTACCTGGGAACAATCCTGCAGCATCATAGTGCCACACTAGCTTGTCAGGAACATGCATTTTCGGCAATGGAATAGAAGTAATAAGCTTGATGCTTTCCGGAGAGAAGAACAATCCCAAAGCTGTTGGATTCCATGAGCGGGTGCCCGGATCAATGAAAGCTGAGACATAAGGCGAAGAAGAAGGCGCACCATCCCATGCTGCTGCCACTGATTTGAGAAGAACTTCCCTTGCAGCAATCGAGAGGGAACGGATTTTCCAACCCTGCAACCCTGTCATCAATTTCTCTTCAATAAAACGGAAAGTCACCTTCTTAGATTTTTGAACCAAAGAAGGAAGACCCAAGTAACGATCTAGCAAACCAATTGACCCCACTCCCAAAATCGAACCCAACAAACTTTGAGAGTGCGAATCCATATTTGGACTGAAGAAAGCTGCAAACTTAACTAAATTGAGAAGTTGGCCACTGATACCTTCATATTCATGAAGCAACCTCATAAGATTATCTCCATCCCTCCGAGAAGCACGAAGGAATAAAAAAGAATCGTCCGCAAAGAGAAGATGAGAAATTGAAGGACAAGAAGGTGCAACAAGGACGCCTTGTAGCTCATGGCGAGCAACCATTTCCTTTATCATAGCAGTAAATCCTTCTGAGCACAAAGCAAAAGGAAGGGAAGAGAGCGGGTCACCTTGACGTAGACCACGGGTGGAAGAAAAGTACCCTGAAGGTTTGCTATTGATCAAGATCAAAAAAGTAGCGGTGCACACACATTCCTTAATCCAATGAATCCAATCAGCCGCAAAACCCAATTTATGCAGAACCGCAAAAAGGAATGGCCACTTAATCCAATCATAAGCCTTCTCCATGTCCAGCTTAACGGCCATAAATTTCGATCTCCCTTGTTTCTTATTTGTGATGAAATGCATTAGTTCATGGGCTTTGAAACATTGTTCACAATTTGTCTTTTTGTTCTTCTGAGACTAATTGTGGCAATATCTTCCCCAACCAAGTAGCCATAATATTGGTTATTACCTTATAAAGAAATTGGCACAAGCTTATGGGACGTAACTGAGAAACCTATTCAACCATATCCACTTTTGGAATGAGGGTTAACCAAGTATGGTTGAAATTCCATAATAGCTTGCCTGTTGCGAAAAAGGAAGTAATAGCCTTGATCACACTATCACCAACAATGGGCCAAAAGGATCGAAAAAAAGAACCTGTAAAACCATCAAAGCCAGGAGATTTAAGAGCACTCATGTGGAAGATTGTATCTTTAATTTCAGAAGGAGTGACTTGAGCCAACAAAGCTTCATTCATTGCCCTTGTTACTAGACGTGAAATAGGCATGCTTTCCACTCTTTGAGCAACTCGGGCAGCAAAACCATCATCCAAACTAGCAGAGGTAAAAAGATTCTTATAATAATCCACCATAATAAGTTCTTTCCCATCTCATCTGCAACCCATTGACCAACAAAATCAAACAATCCTTCAATTCTACTCCTTCGACGTTTGGTGCATTGTCAAAAAAAAAAAAAACGTTTGGCGCGAGTTACGACATGAAAATATCCAGAGTTTTTGTCCCCTTCAGAGAGCCAAGAGATGCGTGATCGTTGTTTCCAGAATAATTCCTCCGTTGCCGAAGCCCAAGCTAAATCAGATTCAATTCCAGTGGCGGACCCAGGAATTTTTCATAGGGTGTCCTCTTTTAAAAATAAATTTAATAAAAATAAAATAATTAATAAAAATAATATGTAAATAAGAAAATACCTTACTCGTACAGGTTTAGTCCATTATGTGTTTTCATATTTTGAAATAATTGTAGAATACACTTGGTGTCTACAATGCTAAAACAATTGTCTCTATATACCCTACTAGACAATCATTCACGAACTTTTCGCATATTCGATTTGTAAACCTGTTCTTGATGTAACCCAAAGCTTAAAGACTCTTTCAACACTTGTCGTACAACGATAAAATCAATACAAATTAAGGGTAGGTTGAAATTAGTTTAATTGCTAGGTTTTGAAAATAATTAGAGATAGAGAATGCAGTGTTCAAAATCGAACAACACATGAGTTGTAGTTTAATGAAAATTAAGTGTATTAATAATAATAGTGCTCTAGGTTTGAATTACCCAACCTACCACTTATATTTTCATACACAAATTTAAAAAATGACAGTAAAATAATCATTTTTTCAAATTTCAGGGGTATCCCTCACTATCAATTATATTTTTTTATCCATACGTAAATTACCACCGTGGATTGAATAATCGTTTTCCCAAAATTTAGGGGTGTCCCCGTGCGTCCGCCCCTAGGGGTGTTCAAATGGTTACCATGGTTACCATGGTTATAACCAAACCAAATAAGGCTAAATTTCATTAACCATGGAATGCAATATCAACCAAAACGTCCAAATTAATACAACCAAATTAACCAAACTAAAGTTTAATCGGGTTGGTTAATTGGTTAACCAGATTAACCAATATAAAATCATATTATCATCAAGTGAGAAAATTTTCGGTTAATTTATCAATTCACAATTTATATAATGAATAAAACATAACAATCAACACATAGTTATAGTTGACCCTTAACATAAATACATGCAACTAAGACAATTATCTTACGGTTAGTAAAGAAGTATTCACCTAAGAAAAATTTATCACAATGTTATGGATTGATGAATTGTTGTGTTTGTTTGAATTGACTTAGTCTTTTAGCAATTTTCATAGGCTGGAAAGGACCTTGCTTTCAAGTTTTCATCCAACATAATGTATGAGATTTATCTAAATTAGGCGGTCATATGTTGTGGTCTACACTCTACATATACAAATATACATTATAGGAACAATATTAAGCTTTATATTTTATGAGTCTAAAAGGATGAACGTTTAACTCTTGAGTGGTTATTCAAAGTATTAAGTATGTGTATATATTAGATATATAACTAATTATTTATGTGGTTAATTTGATTTGGTTGGTTAGGAGTGTTTGAACCAAACCAAACCACCTAAACCAAACAAGCTAAAAACTTTACCCAAATCAAACCAATTATCCAAATTAACCAAACCAAATTATTCAAATAGTACTGGTTAAAACGGTTACCATGGTAACCACACCGTTTGAACACCCCTATCCGCCCCTATTCAATTCTATTAAGCTCCGTCCAGTCCACCAGGTTATCATTCCGGACTCGTTGGGTTTCCAAACGAAGCTGTCGTATCCGACGTGTTGCGTTAGTGGTCCCTTTCTTCGTCCAATAGAACAGTTTATGTATGGCATTTTTCAACCATGTCCAAAGCATTGACCAGGAAACCGGACTGTACCGGCCGGTTCAACCAAAAAAACTGAGAACCGGACCAAAAGCGATACGGTAGGCTAATGGTGGTCATTTTACCGTGCCGGCCGGTTTTTTCGGCTTACCCGACAGAAACTGAAATACCGCCCGGTCTCATTCTAACCGGCGGTAGACTTATTGGAAGAAAAACGTCGCCGTTTAACTAACTTAAAATTAGGAAAAAAGGAAAATTTTCGTCCTCACCCCAATCTGAATCCCCAACAGCCACCGAGAACGCCGACCCCGATCCTGACCCATACCTCCATCTCCAACACCGACGTCCGTCCCCAACCTCCTTCGTCCAGCATTGAC